ACAAGTAAATGGGCTCAAATAAACATTCTAGATGAATCAATCCCACACTCTATTGGGCCTTATAATTTGGGCTTATAATCACTAACAATAAACATCTAAAAATATTTTAATAATAAACAACAAATTAATATACGACTTATCCCAAGTGCATGACTCATTATGACTTATCATTATTACCGTAAGATCTATTTTATTTCTCTCTACTTATCATAGATCGATGATCTGATATCTCATTTGATAAATCCAATAATTAATTAGTCGATTTCCGTTCTCATCGATTATCATTTAAAAAAAATATTTATACCTACAAAAAATTAGTGGATGAAAGCTTAATTACTAACTCATTACAAACATCATAACAGCTCCAGAGAGCTTTATTTGTTGCATGCTATCGGAATGGGCATTGGAACTCTCGTCGTGCAGCAAGCTCAGATTTCCAGTACTCAAAAGCTGGAAACTCTCTCTCTCTCTCTCTCTCTCTCTCTCTTCTCCATGCCCAATTACTCAATCAATTATTAACAGTACTGTCAAGTCTAAACTTGGCAGCACTCGCCAAATTGCTGATAACAGCCGAGAGTAAATGGCTGGAAAAGCCAACACGGATGCGGTGTTTCAGGCAAAATCCACATGGCCAACACAGAGATGGGAGGATCATGCTCAATAATGGCATTTCCACAGTCTTTCCCCATGGCAGGAAGATGCAAAGGAGGAGAGCCCTTCACATGGCCTCGCCCATTTGAATACTGGCACCGGCCATGTGTGCATGTGGCTTGAGGTAGTGCTGTTGGTGGACTCCTCCCCCTATTATTATTGCACTTCGATGAGGATGAGGTGTCATTAACATGCATATGTTCCCGTGGAATCCACGTAGTTTGTTGTCCCTTAATGCAATCAACTTGAGTCGAAGTGGAGTCGTAGTAGCGTATATCACATCAATGAGAATCGGATTATGATGACGATTATGTTCTTATTTCTGAAATCTGAAATTAGATGAAATGAAATAATCGATTCTGTCAAACTTACCACTGTTGGCAAACACTAGTGGCTTGCTGCTAAACTCTCTTGGTGCTGAGACCAAGTAGTGAATCCGTCATCTGGTTTGCTGCTTGTCTGCCAATTGTTCCTGGAATGAATGCATCGAGTGTTCTTTATCAATACATAACAAGGTTAACAACTTTTGTGTCAGCCTTCATTCACCATTGCAGTAGGTTCTAAGCATAAAGGAACAAAGATTACTCCAAGTGTGGGAATAATCTCTACTTTACGCCAGCTTAAGACCCCCAAGGCTTTAAATACATCCTCTTCATGTTCGAGTGTCCCAACTTTGGAGCCTTTTTACTCTGCTTGACATCATCTGTTGCAGAAACCGAGATCTCACGAGCTAAGGAATAAAAAGTAAACAGGGAGACAGAGGAGTGATAGTGTCATTTCGTCGAACGACAAAACCCCATCTACTCTCCACCATCTTATAAACTCTTTTCTTCCATGATTCCATCTCTCCTGTCTTCCTCCGTTTGTAGTGTGGGAGCGGACCTTGAACAAAGGCAATGACGCACGGTTAGGGAGAAAGAAAGAGAAGGCAAAATGCAGCAGCCAATTGGCCTTCTCTTGTTTTCCTTCTTCTTCTTCTCCGTGCTGCTCTCCTGCGCTGCCATTTCCAGTGCAGCTGGCGCTACTGCAGACGATGAGATCTCCGCCTTGCTTGCCATCAAGTCGGGCCTGGTTGATCCATTGGATGCTCTCCGTGACTGGAGATCCCCCGCGGATCCTCGAGACTCCATGCACTGCAACTGGACCGGCGTCGGATGCAACTCATTCGGCTCCGTCGAGAAGCTTGACCTCTCGCATATGAACCTCAGCGGGTTGATCGCTGACGACGTCCAGCGCCTCCGCAACCTCACCACCCTCAACCTCTGCTGCAATGCCTTCTCCTCCTCGTTCCCGAAATCGCTTTCCGGCCTCTCGTTGCTCGGGGAACTTGATGTCAGCGCGAACGCCTTCGTCGGCCAATTCCCGTCCGGCCTGGGCTCCTCCCCGGCGTTGACCATCGTAAATGCATCAGGCAACAACTTCGTCGGTCCGCTGCCGGAAGATCTATCCAATGCCACGTCTCTTGAGATCATAGACCTCCGGGGGAGCTTCTTCCAGGGATCGATTCCAGCGTCCTACGGGAGCCTCCGTAAGCTCAAGTTCCTGGGACTTTCCGGCAACAACCTCACCGGAAAGATTCCGGTGGAGCTCAGTGAGCTTACATCATTGGAGAAGCTCATAATTGGATACAACGAGCTCGAGGGGAGCATTCCGGCCGAGTTCGGGAACCTCTTCAATCTTCGGTACCTCGACCTGGCCGTCGGGAATCTCGACGGCGCGATCCCGCCGGAAGTGGGGAAGCTGCAGCAGCTGACCACTCTGTACTTGTACAAGAACGACTTGGAAGGCGAGATCCCGAAGGAGTTCGGAAACCTGTCGGCCTTGGTGATGCTTGATGTCTCGGACAACCAGATTTCCGGCCCGATACCGCCGGAATTGGCCCAGCTGAAGAATCTACGGCTCCTGAACCTTATGTGCAACAGGCTCAAGGGTCCGGTGCCGCCCGGATTTGGGGACTTGCGGCGGCTGGAGGTGCTCGAGCTCTGGAACAACTCGCTTACAGGTCCCCTGCCAGCAAATCTTGGACGCAGCTCGTCGTTGCAGTGGCTCGACGCGTCCTCGAATTCGCTGTCGGGCGAGATCCCGAGCAGCCTATGCGATGGCCTCAACCTCACTAAGCTCATTCTCTTCAACAACGCCTTCTCCGGGCCGATCCCAGTCGGCTTGTCGACGTGCTTCTCGTTGGTCCGCGTGAGAATGCAGAACAACAGGCTCAATGGCACCATACCGGGCGGGCTCGGGAAGCTGCCGAAGCTCCAGAGATTGGAGTTAGCGGGCAACGATCTCGAAGGCGAAATTCCAGGCGACATCTCCATGTCAACGTCGCTCTCCTTCGTCGATCTCTCGCACAACCACCTCCAATTATCTATCCCTTCCAACATCTTCTCCATCCCCACGTTGCAGAGCTTCATGGCGTCCGACAACCTGCTCGTCGGAGGAATCCCAGACCAGTTTCAGGATTGCCCGACGCTGGCCGCGCTCGACTTGTCGAACAACCGCCTCACCGGAGGCATCCCAGCGAGCCTCGCCTCGTGCCAGAGGATCGTCAGCTTGGACTTACATGGCAACAGGATGACCGGGCAGATCCCCGTTGCAATCGCGATGATGCCGGCGCTCGCAATCCTTGACCTGTCGAACAATCTCCTGACGGGCTCTATTCCGGAGAACTTCGGAAGCTCGCCGGCTCTCGAAACCTTGAATTTGTCCTACAACAATCTCTCCGGACCTGTCCCGAGTAATGGGATCCTGAGGACCATCAATCCCGACGAACTCGCCGGCAATTCGGGCCTTTGCGGTGGCGTGCTAGCGCCATGTGACTCGGATGCCGACGTGGGGTGGCCCGAGAGACGAAAGAGTGCTCATCTGACGCACATTGTTGCGGGGTGGATGACGGGGATCTCTGCAGTCCTCGCCTTCTGTATAGTTCTTTTGGGAGCTCAGCATCTCTACAAGAAGTGGTACGTCAACGGCAGCTGCTGCGGAGGACGGTTCGACGTAGAGAACGGCGAATGGCCTTGGAGGCTGACCGCATTTCAGCGGCTCAGCTTCGCGAGCAGCGACATACTCGCCTGCGTCAAGGAGGCCAACGTGATCGGCATGGGCGCCACCGGGATCGTCTACAAGGCGGAACTGCAGAGACCGCACGCGGCGGTCGCAGTCAAGAAGCTCTGGCGGACGGGATCGCCCGAGCCCGGAAGCTCGAACCTCAGGGCCGACATAGCCGGAGAAGTAAACGTACTGGGGAAGCTGAGGCACCGCAACATCGTGCGTCTGCTTGGCTACATGCGCAACGACACCGACACCATGATCCTATACGAGTACATGCCGCACGGAAGCCTGTGGGAGGCGCTGCACGGGCCGCAGGCCGGCGGCCGGGTGCTGCCCGACTGGGTGTCGCGGTACAATGTGGCAGTCGGAGTCGCACAGGGCCTCGCGTACCTCCACCATGACTGCCACCCTCCCATCATTCACCGTGACATCAAGTCCAACAACATCTTACTGGACGCCAACCTGGAGGCGAGGATCGCCGACTTCGGCCTCGCCAAAATGATGGCGAGGACGAACGAGACGGTGTCGGTGGTCGCCGGATCTTATGGTTACATCGCTCCAGGCATGCTTGCTCTTACTTCACTCTGTTCCGACCTCGTCGAAACATCACACATATCAGTCATCTAAATGCTGTTCTTTCCGTGGCAGAGTATGGCTACACCACGAAGGTGGATCAGAAGAGTGACATCTACAGCTTCGGGGTGGTTCTCATGGAGCTCGTCACAGGGAAGAGGCCGATCGAGCCGGAGTTCGGCGAGAGCCAAGACATCGTCGGGTGGGTTCGCGACAACGTGAGGGGCGACCGAGGAGTCGAGGCAGTGCTCGACCCGAGCGTCGGAGGCCAATGCAAGCATGTGCAGGAGGAGATGGTTTTAGTGCTCCGGATCGCAGTGCTGTGCACGGCGAAGCTTCCCAAGGACCGGCCGTCGACGAGGGACGTGCTCACCATGCTCGGCGAGGCGAAGCCCCGGAGAAAAAGCAGCAGCAGCAGTAGCAGTAGCGCAGGTGTAGGAAGCACCGTAGTGGACAAGGATAAGCCTGTCTTCAGTACATCACCGCATTCCGGTTACCTCTAGCCATCAGCACGCAGTGCTTTTCTTGCTCATCCTGTAGATTAATGTGATTGCGAGCTTGTATCAGACGTCTGTAAACAAGGTGTTCGACATAATGAGTTCCATCGGAAGGCATCAAGGAATCGGTGTCTCAGATTCTACAGCTATAGGATTGTGCACAACAATTACTGGTTGAAATGATTGCATCTAACACAAAGCTCATCTATCTCGTTTATCGAGGCATCACCAAATTCCATTCTCTTTTCCCTTGAAATTTGATAGATCTTTGACTTTATTACAGGCTCAGCTATAGTATGCATCTTTTCAGCCATTTCGTATACATCCTTCACTATTTCTACTTGCATTGAATTGGCCAACAACAGATCACATTCAAGACAGTAGTGGCTTCTCAACATCTTCAACATGCGGCTGCGGGTCATCCTTGACATCGACCGTAGTGAAATCTTCATTGTTCTTTGCCCATAAGACGACGTAGAGTCCTGCAAACATGAGAACTATTCCTGCCAGGCTGCAAAAGGATTACACTCTACCGTCAATTATTTCTTTGGCACCAACAGGATTGCAAGAAAGATCACTTGCAGAATTGCTAATGGATCCAACCAAGAATCGCTCATACCTTCCAGCAGTAATCATCTGTCTCAAGAGTACAGCTGAAAGAACAACAGTGCTGACTGTTTGAATGGGGCTAAAGATGGCAACCAGAACTGGACCCTTCTTACTGATACACCATGTCTGGAATGCAACACATACACCCACCAGAACTCCACCCTGCATGTCACAAGAACAAGAATCCTCAATTACAGCTCTCAAAAAGAATGTTAAAGAGTGTCTCACAGAGAATAGCCCAGTACCAGCAGGACAACTCCCACAATTCTTGCAATGCTTAGGGTGGAAGGACCAACACTGATGTTGCCTTCACTTATGATTTGCCACAGTGCAGTGAGAAGGGAGCCCATCACAGAGGTCACTACAACCAGAGATAAAGGTGCTTGGAATTCAACCATAGTTGCAGCCTGCAAGGAACATACAATTTTGTTCTACTCAACTGAAAGGTAACAGGTCTATCGATCTGTATGATGTAACACAAGTCAGATGATGAAGCTACTTACCTGCAAAACAGTGGTGCAAGATAAGAACACAACCCCTGTTAAGAGATAGAAGCAGCCTAGCATCCAGTCACTGTAGATGGCCTTGTCCAATGTATAGGGCTTGGACAAGATAGCTGATAGATTAGATGTTAAACTAGGTGATTCAGATGGGGTTTGCAAGAAGCACATGGCCATAGCCCCAGTCAAGCACACCAAGGTTCCCATGATCTTGGCTCTGCTGTACCAGCAACATGCGTCGAACTTCTCAAACCTGCAAGGCCACCCAATCCACTGTAAGAATTCATGCATTGCCTTCAGAATCGTGCATGAGAAAAAAAGGCACTGAAAACTTTACGGAGGATTAGGTACCTGAGGCAGGCTGCAATGATGAAGATGAGGCCAGGAGCCAGGTTAGGCATTGCAGAGGCAATATCTGGAGAAGCTTTCTTGATTCCCACCAATGTCAGAGCTTGGAATATGGTTACCCTGATGAGTTGCAGAAGAATCATCATATGTCAGTAGTTTTGACTCTAACAGACACCAATGCAGAAGCAAGAGCAGAGCTGATGTGAGAAATCGTAAAGGACATGTTTGAACAGTTGAGATACAAAACTAAGCTTAATATTTACTTCTATTTCTTCTTCTTGCTAATTCCCGATGATGCTAACTAAACTAGATAGGGAAGAACACTTACCCTCCTAAGGAGAGCAGAAAGAAATGGGATAACAGAGTAGCACTCAACTTGCGCGGCCACTTCTTCCTGCAAGCATGCAGCAGCTGATCAATACAGGAGACCACTCTGTGTGAGTTTGGCGTCAAGCATGAAAGGATTGAGACTGCAAGCGTACTTCTCGAGAACTACGGCGAAGGGGAGGACGACGACGGCGGTGACCAAGTTTCCGAAGACGACGAGGAACAACGGGTTGACGCCGGCCGCGAAGACGCCAGTCAAGAACACCATATACACTCCATACATGACTTGCGCTCCGAAGTTGCCGGAGACAATGAAGAGCTCCTCCCAAAACCCACCTCTGGATGATTTCAACATCTTTATGATGGGGAAACTCAACGAGCTGGAGAGCTCCTCGTCCTTCTCCTCTTCCCCTTTCTAACACGCACTTCAAGCTTCAACCACCAAACTTCCGGTCTGCAAGTCACTCCGTGCAGATATTGTTCCTTGGGTGGACTACAAGACACCCATGTCTCCACTTTATATAGACTTCCTTACAGTGTTCTGTAGTGCTGTCTACGATGTGTTCTTATTGGTTGTGCGCCTCCATGGAGTCAACCAAAGGGTTCAAGGGAAGCAAAGCATCACCTCCAAAGACGAAGCCTCCATCGCTCCACTCTACATGGCGGAGACTACGGCGGATAACAGAATATTGTCTTTTTGGTGCGTACCCGTCACCTAATTGGAGGAACGAAGTGGGGCGCGACGGAATCCTTTCACGGAGACTGAAGCGGGTGAAGCCGCGGGCGGGTCGATTGGTGCACGATGTCGGCCATGCGCGCCGCATGCGGGCACGCTTCCTAGGAATTAGCTGAACCCGCCACGCTTGTGGGTCAAGACTCTGTTGAGTGCACATAAATAGATCGCATTGCGCATCTCTTTCATGTCAATTTCATTTACTTGGCTATCAATAGATGGATTTCACAGATCTATAAAGCATGAATTAAGATTATGTAAGTATAAGATATACGTTTTTTGTTTTATTTATTGGTAAGGTAAGTCATTTACAATTCTGAATCATGGAAACAACATAGGTATCATGATGGTTTCCAATTATTGATCTCAACAGCATTCTGAACTCAAACATTGCTTGTACTCTTTCCCTTACGTATTGGATGCAAGTTAAGCTACACTAACTGCTTGATAGTGACCCCTAAGTTCAGCTTGGGAGTGCCTCGGAGCTCAACCATGTCCTCGACAAGTGAAGGTTCCTCAAAAGAGCTGCATCTCAACCACACCCAACCACACCATATAGGATATGCAACAAAAATTCATAGGTCAGTGATAGAAAAGGACGACCCAAAGCACGAGGCTCCTACAAACAGAGTTTTTGATTCCAATAATGAGGCTTTGCAATTCACAAAGAATAAAAAATATACGTAACGATGATTATTAGAGCACCAGAATCACTCTTTGTGAAGAGTGACAATGTCTCTGTATCCTACAAAAAGCATATGTTACTGGACAATCTCTCTCAACCTTAGGGGAATCCTGATTCAGTTGCAATCAACTCCTATGGAAGCTGATGAAATCCATGTGCAAGAGGATTCAATCTATCAATAAGCACTTAAATATACACTTGTGAAGCAAATTTAGGATCACGATTTGTCCTAAGATAAATGATCCATTAGCATAGAGAAAATAGTTCAAGAAAAATCATTAATATGTCTGAGCACCCATCTTTTCGTGACTACAAATCCAACTTAGAGATCCAAGCTGAAGTGAGATCAGAAACATTTCACTTCAAAATTTCCAGAATTCATAAAAACCCACTCACTGTCCAAAGAAAAAGAACTCTAGTAAGTTGACAGTAATAATAAATAGATGGAGTCAAACTGTGAGGTAATTCCATTTTGCACAAGAAAGCAACAATGTACAGAGTGCACAAAAATGGAGATTTCCTCCAAACACATCGTAAGAACACAAGCATTTTGCAAGACACCGTACCAGTCAATGGAAACTGAATACATTCTCACTAGAGAGGAAATTTTGTTCTAGCTATTCACAAACTCATTCAAATTATGTTATATCTTCCTGTAAATGTTGACTTTGTCACTGGTACTGCTGCCTCCCAGCATTTTATTAGTAATGGTTGCAGCTCCTTGTCCAACAAATTGAGCTGCATGTGAATCTTCTGCAATTTGCAGCGATGAAACAGCCTGTGCAGCCAAAATTTCTGCAGAAATATCTGGTCCTTGACTTGCCTTGTGAAAATGCGGTGATTGAACATCTTCCGTAAATAATTGAGGAGGCAATGGCAATCCAATCCCCCAACTGTTCCACTTCCATGAAGGATTATATGCGTTGGTTCCCAACCCCCATCCATCAATAGAATAATTTGTGAAGCTTTGATAATCCATGGAAATATCAATATTACTTGAATACTCCCAATGGTTATGCTTACTGGTATTGTTTATCATGAAATGACAGGATTCATCGGCATCTTCCCCTCCTAGGACATGAAGAGCGACTGCTTCAGCAATTGAGGCTCCTTCTTCATCCAGCCTTTTCTGTTCTTCTATCTTCTTCTGTTTCTTCTGCTCTAATTCAGATCGTAGAGCAGCAGAAGTTGCAAGTGCTTTCTCTAAGCGCCTCTTTTTCTTCTCAGCCTGCTTCAGACGATCCAGCTCACCCTTGGCCTGCTTCTTTTTTCCTTTCTTCATGGCCGCGCTTACCTGACCACATCTTATTTTCTCCATAACTACTTATACCTCTAATATACTGAATTCAGCTTATCTTCAAATGACTAATATGAGAGGAAATTGATTCTGAAACCAACTCCAGACCTAATAATTCATAAACTTCTCTTCTTGTAAGAAAAATGAAAACTACTTAAGCAGTTAATCCTTTAACCCTACGCCCATTCAGGTCTGAAGGAGTATCTAATTTTGCGAAAAATGCAATCCCAAAAGGATACAACGGGAGAAAGCAGGATAGAGAAATGATTAATTTCTAAGGCATTTCTGATGGCTTTTTTCCCTGACTTCTTGCAGCAGAGATGCTCCCCCATATTAATAACACCAAAATAGCAAAGCACCAACCACAAGTCCTATTGTAAGGATCAAAATACTCGATCACACAGATCTGCATAAAAGCCAAACCATGTGTACATCAGTATCTCAACCCAATTGTTTGCTCCACATGAAAAATATTATATATACATAAGCAGGAGTTATACATGGTAAAAGAATTGCTGTGACATGATGGGCGTAAAACTCTCATCAAAATCCTATCGTGAGAGTGCTCTTAATCAATCAGATACAATAAGGAAACAGATCATCTTATTATTAGAGTATTTGCACCCTACAGCGGGTTCTACACCTCTACTCAATGTTACACCAATTACTATTTTTCTTGATCTCTATACATAATCCACTAGATGTTTTCCAATGATTTGATATCAAATTTCAGGTCTTTAATCCAATCGGAGTTACTACTATATTCATAGTAACTGTGAGCAAAAGTCAAACTCGTGCATATCAACAACTCTGGCTCTGTTGTGTTAACACAAAAATTAAGGAGTTGATTAAAAGTTCAACTTATATGCGCATCATCATGCTCAACAAGTCTAGAAGCCTTATATGGATGATTGAAGAATCCGACATATAGACAAACATGAAAAATGAATGCAGATGGTAATGAGAGTCCTTATATGTTTCAATTACTTGATACATATCATGAAGTGTCTGGTAGGTGTCAACATCTGACATGGACACAACATGCATTTTGAAATTGCTGTGTTTCATAGCTCCAACCCCAAAGGGTACAAGAGCAAGACATTTTGTTAACCAAACAAACCACATCATATAGCAAGTGCAGTTTAATGAGAATGAAGAAATGACTTAGAAAATTCTGATATCAATCATTACTCTTTAAAAAAAGCAATAACAAGTAGGAGCAAGTATCTTACCAACTAAGAAAACAGTAAGGCCCCCACATCATATAGCGAGTACAGTTAAATGAGAACGAAGCAATAAGAATTCAGATATCAATTGTCACTCTTGAAGCAAAGAAATACTATGCAAGTGCAAGAATCATACCAGCTAAGTATACAGTAAGGTCCCCACAAATTAGCCAACTCAATTAAGTTCTTAAAACAAATTCAGCATCGTAGATATGAGACCTACATACCTCAGATTCATCATATAAAATCTAAGTATCTTCTCTAAAAAAAAAAAGATGCAGCAAACATAATGATGCAACAAATGTTTATAACAGGACCTGAAATTCCTAAAGATGGTAAGGTATTTCCATCTCATAATTCAGGATCTCAAGTCCTAACTAGCTAACCGTTAATGCTAACTACAGCTACATCATGTCTTTAATGAATTCCTCTGTCAGAAAATGCAGGCTGTACTGGTATAGAATACATATTTTTTATAATAATTAACCAAAAGGAGGAAAAAATGCTGCCATCCTTTTTATGTAATAATTCAGGTATACAAAACTAAAGATCCAGTCAAATACTCCCATATTCCCATCGCCAAACTTCCCAAAATCTCCAACTACTGCAGATCTCATACAGCAGATATTATCCTTTTTTTACATACAACTACCAGAATCACCGCCAATCTCTTCGAATTCAGGAGAAAAAGGAGTCCAAAAGAACCCTAATCCTGTCCGAAGTACCATAACGACACTAGATCAATCATACTTGAAATGAACTCCTTTCCTCACAGGATCCAGACCCCTGATTGAACCCCGCAAAATCAGCTCTAATGCTATTTGGACACCCCAAAAGAACTGAAGATATTCCAAATAAAACGAAGATTAGTGCTATACCTGCCGGAATTAAGCAAAAAAGGGAATCAGATACTTGAAATCGCATGGAGTGATCATTGCTGAGGGAAGAGCTCTCTCCGTGGGAGTTCCGATCCGAAATCGACCTAATTTTCCGAGAGCGATTAGATTAGGAACTAATCACATGCAATAGACGTGACAAGACCATGAGAAAGCGATATGAAGGGCAGTATCGTCATTTCATCCACGACGACTGGCGACGGGAAACGGATTGTGGACCCGATACGGTGTTCAGTAACTTTCTGCGAGACATGAAAGGTTTGGAGGGGTTACGTTGGGCCCCACAGGTTAGGATTTTATGAAAGACGCGTAGAATGAGTGAACTTATGTGGTATTGATTTTGGGGGATGCGTCTTTAAACTCCGTGAACGGACGCAACGGAACGGTGAACAGAAAACGGAAGCCATGGCGGCGGCTTAAGAGAGAGAGAGAGAGAGAGGGAGAGGAAGAGGAAGAGGAAGAGGAAGTGGCGGCGCATGTGTACATGTGACCGACAGCGGTCGGAGAAGGCCTACGGCGCCATCGTTCACATCAACCGCTTCTTCAAGGACGGCATCTGCCACAGCGCCATCCAGGTCGCGCGTTCTTTCCTTCCTCTTCTTTACCTACGTGTTCTTTCAGTTGATTTCGATCGACGAGTGCAAAATTTTTAGAATGCGAAACATATTGCAGTAGGAAAAATTTCCATTGATTTCTCCGAGGAGGGTTTTGATCCAGTGGGTATTGTTTCATCAGGAGGGATGAAGGGAAGAGAGGTCTATTTTCTTATTTTTATTGATTCTTGAGTCGGTTCGGCGGGTGGGCATTGGTTGGAGAGGTAGTCCTTTGTTTTTAGACACCGTTTACATGGATCATGGTGATTTGGAAGTAGAATGCGAGATAAATTTATGGGTTTTAATGATGAGTTCCGAGGGACGAAGTTGCTAAATTTTACCATGGAAAGTTCGCTAATAAGTTGTTCCTATTGGAGTATTATGGAAAGCCATGCCAATATCAAGAAAGTAATTTTGTTTTGGAATACTTTTGTCGTCGATCATTTCATATCCAACTTGTAATGATAATGAAGAGGAGTCGCTGGGACTTCTTAAGGTGTCATTTACTTACGGGTTAAGGGCCGCGAAGGAGGTTTATCCAGTGCATCCGACTGTAGTTGAGCTGAAGGCACAAAGGATTCCTAGAGGGATGCCCAAAAAAAGAACAAGATTGATGATGTTATTAAGATAGAAGAAGAAAGAAACCCTGCCATTAATAAGGATCACCATACTGGTGCTTGCCAACTATGACAACCAGAATTTATAACTTATGACAACCAGAAAGATTGATGATGTTGGCCTGGTACAATCACAACTTATGACAACCAGAGATTGGTTAGATAAAGGTGCAAGACTCCACAATTGGACCTCAACGGATTTGTACCCAACCTATGAATAAATTATGTTATTTGAAATCCGATTAACTTAATCAGAATTTATATCAATATTGTGATTTGATAATGCGACCAATAAAAGCATTGAATGTGGATCAACCTCAATCCAATTTATTTATGCTTATGTCATTAGGCAACTATGCGTTCTATCTTAAACAATTTTTAAATAATATACCTACAATTAGACATTGTTGGGAGTTGGAACTTGATGCAATGATGGAAATCTAGGTGCGAATTAATTATAATGGGAAATTAATGGGTTTTATCTTATTAGGACATTGTCACTTTTAGCTAATCAATCTATTGTTGAATTTGGTCAGCAATGTTTAGGTATTGGATCATATTTGAATTGTTTTGATCCCATCCATTTATAGCTCAAATTGGTACGCTGTGTGATTCATGGGTAAAAGGAAGACCATGCATTCACCTACTAGTTATTTGAGTTTTTTTAATTAAGGACCAATATGATGGATCTTGTTATCAAGATGCATCAATCTGTGTCAACAGATGTTGCAACCACACTAGATTTTCCTCGATGTTTCTGTTTTCTTGTTTATCATCTGTTGACTGTATGACATCTGCTGGCTGAATGTTGTCATCATTTGACTGCTTACACCATGCTGGAGCACTTGGTGATCTTTTTAGTGGTGTAAAATTTCTGAACTAGAAAACAATTGTTTGTGTGCCTTTTCTGTTGTTAAATATCCTCTTATTTTTGGGGTTCCAGCTGCAACAAGTGAAAAATAAGATCATAAATGCTAGCAGAATATCTTATAATGTCATCATAGGTATGGATCAGGTAATGTTGCTGCTCGTACACAGCGAACATGGTATAGAAATCTCTCCAAAAACACAGGCATGAGGCCATCCATGAGCAATTCAAGCCTCCCTGAGAATTCTGAGGATGAATAACCCAAAGATGAACACATCAGCAGCAGCAACAGCAGAGAAATTTTTCATCCGTGCAACTCAACCTCAAGGAAAAGTGAATTAATTTTATTGTAGCATTTCAGAATAATTATGTGACATTACTTTCCACCTCTGATCATTTACACTAATGGCTCCAGTGAAAAGAGGTTCTTCAACAAGGTCATTTACTGAGAAATGTGGTATGGCACTAAGTAGCATGGATGTAATTAGTGCTTTTGAATAGCTGCTTTTGGACTTCACCTGCCCTCTCCTTGGAATAAGCCAACCCCACATGTGATCTTGGACCACTGAAAGTATTGCTAAGGACATCACCATAATTACTAACTGCCAGAATGAAGTTATGATGAGGGTTTTAGGTCATTGATGGTTTCAGAAGCCTAGACTTTCTATTCTATCATCATGCTTATATAGATCATTTAACAGGATCCTGCTAAAATGTGAGCTAGGTTGGTCTATCAGAGGAGTAACAGTTCTTTGGTACTGGTTTTCTGGTGGGGAGACAAGTCATAAAAAACTCTCATAATGCTGAAAAAGATGCATACCATTTACTTTCTGCTGATGTTCTCGATTTTGTCTATCATAAGAGGTTATGCTTCACCTGGTTGGTAGAGGAGGTACATTATAGATTGTTTATGAACATATAATGACTTTCTGGTTTCTTCGATTGCGTTGGCAATTGTGAGGTTGTGTTTTCATCAGGTAAGTATGGAAGAAAAACTTTTTTTTCTTGTTCTTTTTTTGGAGAAGGTTGTTTCCATGGAAGTTTTATGTGATGTTGGTTATCTTTTTTCATATTGGATAAGAAATCCATGTTTTCTAGGAACGGCAACAATTGAATACTAACTTGAATGCTTTTTTTTTTTTGGTCGTCTGTAGTGAAGTCAATTCAACCTCCACTGCTAGCTTGCTAGTGCTTCACAGTTCAGAGTCACTCCAAGATTTAGTTCATGGCACAAAAATTCAGAGAACAAACAGAATGCAGCCCCAAGCACAAGATCTGATCACGGGTTTCATGTAAAACTCTTTATCATTGATCATTTACATCACCAACATAACAAAAAGCAAATGCCAAAAGAAAGATGTCTACCTAGAAGAGTTACACACACAACCCATCATTTGTGATGTGGAAGTCGAGGTAAGGCCCTGAGAAGTATAGAGGTGATGGAGTGCAGTGCAGTGGCTGCTATTCTACTCTTTATTTGTCCTCGCCGTGGTATAAGTCGCCTTCCTCCTGACCTCCTATTCACTGAAGCAGTGGCAAGAACAGCAGTAAATATCTTGCTCATGGTGAGAAATGCTGGCAAGCAGTGCTGCAGGCTTTCAGACTTTGGTGGTTTTTGGGACTCTCTGTATGCTGTCATCTTCAGTTTCAAGCTATATATAGGGATCATACAGTACAACCAGGATCTTTTAAAATATCTGCAAGGCTGGATACTGGTGGTGAGACATGCCAGCAAATTTTCTCCTATTTCTAATACAATTTGGCTCTGATTCCATACAGAAGGATAACTCTGATTTGTTGTGGCTTCTTCCATTAGTTCAAATATGACAGATGACATTCATGTGTTCATAATTCAGTAAAGTTGGTTCTGCTTGTATTCTGTTGGCAACTCCTGAATTTATTCATGGATCAGTCGAAGCTTGACTTCGAAAGTGATTAGGTTTGCCTGTCTGCAACTACTGCCACTAACAGGAGGCTATGGATACCCATGGAACAAGGTTTTCTAGAGCAGAACGTATGGTCTTTTATTCTTGCAATGAGGCTTCCAGTTTCTGTAGCTCCTTGACATCATAAAGAAGTAGATTTCTGTCTCCCTACCTTAAATTAATAATTAATTATAAAGCCTTGACTTCTGCAAGCCTATGGCTTTAAAGAAATATGAACAAGATGGAGAGGCTGTAATGGATGGAACTCTCTTCTGAGGATCTTCCAACATGTCACATGCAAATGAACTCGAACTCTGCTGAGAAACAAAGAAGTAAAGAATGATTGATATTATGCTTCAAAACAACAGGCAGTTGAAAGTTTCAAGCCCAATGGTGCATGCACAGAGGTCTATCCACTCTCATTTCTTAATCTGTTTTTTTGTGTGCATGAAGTGTATTAGTAGATTTAATTATCTATTGGAACTTATTCCCATGATGTTATATGCCCATGATGTATTAGTAGATTTAGTTATATGCCCACTCTTTTGTCTTACACATAAGAAGAAGTCACTGGTAGGTAACATGACAAACATAAACCAAATGCAGTATCATTTCTTAAGTGTTTGCAAGCTAACAGCCAGCACTAGATGCTTATCTGGGACTACTATAGTCAGTGCTGGGTGACATGACAAACATCTTTGTCTCGTGAATCAACATTAGCAATGGAATGGATTGATTTGAAGAAAATAAAGCCATGCTAAGAGTAGTACATTTGGGTACCTTCATGGCTGCTTCCTGTAAACATGAACCAAATCCACCATAATTGAAGACCATCTTGTTTGAGATCTCTAAACACAACAAATCAGATCATAATATAGAATATTTACACACAAGTATTAAGAATAAGCAAATCTCACATGAGTGAATCCGAACAACCAATTTGTTAGCCTCTCATCAATCAAATTATGGAGTGTTTTGTCGAAGTTGACCCCAAACTGGAGACAAACCATTGTGTGATGCCTCCCAAACACACACAAACTTGCGCTTCTATGCTTTTATTCATCAGAGCCTTTTCTAATTACCTCAAATCTCTTCCTATTTTTATGAAAGCCTACATTATGATTGGAATGAGAAGCGACCATGAAGCATCTCGCTTCGGAGCTGGTGATGCATATATAACCACAACCAGGACTACTCCTCAGAGCAACTGGATCAACTCTCTACAATGGCGAATGTGGGCAATGACTCGAATGCAGAGTCTCTTCTTGGAGAGGGAAGGTCACCCAATCGCCACAAGCATCAGTTAAACAAGTGGGGCTTGATGGGATCATCAATCATACAACGGATGTTCAGCATTGTCCCCAGCATCCCTTCATCAGCAAGGAAGAAGAAGAAAAAGTGTTTCTGCAGACTCATCTCATGCTGATGTTTCCAGTTGGTTTATTGGATAATTGGTGATCAAATTCCTCATTGGAGGATCAACTTGAATTCTTATTCGTGTTGAGAAGTCCTTCTTGTAGCTCACCTGTTTTGTGTCGTCTTTTGTGGTCAGTTTGCTATCTCAGCTGTGTTCTACAGAACCAGATCAGTTCAGTTCCATATAACAATTTCCAAGAAAAATAATAGCAACTTTAGATATGGTTGCAGATTCTTTGCATCTGCTCTGGCATAGCAACTTTAGTATGTTGATTGGGTGAATCAACTCCATTTCTGGCTAGTTGTGATTTGTTTAAATTACTACAAACATCATATGAATCACACGGTGTGTGCGCTTTTGCCTGTGTATAATCTTAGCAGCAAAACCACAGAAGCTTCCATTTCACCACATCTCAACTTTGTGGTGGTCAAAGCATGTCGACACAATAATGAAGATATCACTTGGGTACTAAAAACATAGATGCTGTCAATCTATTTTAGGATTGTCCACTGTACATGAAGCACATGCTGCTAGTGTTGCATTGATTGGAGAGAGGTTTATAAGGAGGATAATAATGAATGATGTCGAAGAGATCATAGTTGCATAATGACCGAAATTTTGGTTGGCCAAGTGCTTGACTGTCTACTAGAGTTTGTTCCTGTGGCTCTGTGATACCTTCGATTGGCTGAAACCACTCTGTTCGAGCTTGTACTCAGCTTATCAACTTTTAGGTCTATTATGCATCCACACAGATTGAAGTTCCTGCAGAATGTTGAATTAATCATCCTTATATTATTCCATCAAGAATCTAAATGGTAACTGTTAGGCTTTTGATGTTGATGATATTTCAGAAGGACCAAACAGAAGCTACCACCATATATGACCAAGGAAAAGACATCAGATACATGGAACTGCTAGTGACAGCTTTGAGCCTGATGAGGCTTTTCTTTTGTGGTCATTTAGCTACTATATATGCATCTCTAATTCCAAATACGTATGTCCAAAATTGTCAAGTATACATGCCTGGATATATGTATGGCACTGCAATATATATCCACAATCTTTATTTATTGGTGGCATGAAGTGCCAACATTGACGAAGCCACCACAAATGGAGGGTGCATGCACAGATTTATCTTACTTGCCAAAAACAATGAGAAAACAGGTATACAACTCATCTACTGGTTGATGTTCTTCTTTGCATATATTTCCACCATTCCAAGGAACCTTCTATCTTGCCAAGTCATGCAGCAACTGAGCTCCCATCAGGTTCCTGTAACGAAGGTTCTCTGCCTCCCCATCCAAAATGGAAAATTGAGCCTGTTGGTCGCCATCAATGGTCTCTCTGGAGAAGAGAAGTGAGGGCTGAGAGTTCGGCAGCAGAGAGAAGCTCATGCCTCCCCCATTGTGCTGCTGGAGACCCAACGTTAAGGACACACCAGCCCTCGAGTTATCACTGCTGCGGCTGTTGTAGGAGAAGCCCAAGTCGCCAACCACACCAAAATCCTGGTGGTGAGTGCTGCTGATCAGATCGTTCCTTTGATGGCCGTGGTGGCCGCTGTTGATGATGGAGGAGAGCGATTCGGAGTCGACGAGTAGCTGCGCCGGCAAGGGTTTCTGGTCGAAGCTGAGGTTGGAGTTGGGGTTGTCACTGTCTTCAGGTCCATTCGCTGCTTGGTTAGACTGGTTATCCAGCTCCTTCGTCTCTTCCAGGTACATCTCCTCAACCATTGGCTTCCACAGCCTCACCCTTGCATTTATGAACCAATTGGAGACCTGTGGGTCAAACAATTGGAATTGGAGTGGTTCCAAATCACAAATGATCAAACAATATAACACAGCTATCTGCACTTCTTCGTGTAGAACACAGAATTCAACAAGGGTTACCTGGCTTCTTGACAATCCAGTTTGCCTGGCTAAGATGTGCTTATCAACATCATTTGGATACCTGATGCAGAAAGATAGTTAAGAGTGATCTGATGCAAGGTTTTTTGTGTTTAGATGGTCAGCTAACTTCTCTGTCACAAGCTAATTATTTATAGTTTATTACTGTCCTAACAAGGGTTGTGGGAGATGCAAGAGAAGGCATGTCTACCTAATTGGTACAACAACAGCTCCCACACATACATGTAAACACATTCTGATAAATATGTATCAGAATCAATGTTAGGTTCTAAGGTTTTCTTTTCATCCAACTTGTATATTGTTGCACAAGTGATAGGTTTCAAGTTCACGTGTGAAGCTCACGTTCGAGTTCGGTTTCTCGTGACTAAATTTGAATTGATACATTGCAGCAATGGGGAGAGGAGAAGAGAAGAGCTTACGGGTGGAGGAAATGCTCGAAGAGCCAAGCGCGCAGAATGGAGACGGCGCGTTCGGGAAGGCCTCGCTGAGGCCGCCATGGGGGCTGCTCCATCATCCCCTGATGAAACGCCTTCTGCTGCCGTATGCACTTGTCGAGCAGCTTGAGCCTCGGCGTCTCGCCCCGCGTCGTCCCCGCGGCGGTCGGATCCTTCTCCCCCATTGCCTTCTTGGCTGCGTGAATCTGACCTACTATCCCATCCCTCAAACACCTAAAGTGCCTCGACATGGCCCTATGTGCCAACGCCGAATACACTCTCGCTGCTTCTTTCCCAGCCACAGCCTCGAACGACGCTGTTACAGTCCTCATCTGCTCGCAGTATTTTCTGTATCTCTTGTCTACCTGAATTGAAAGCATGCAGAACTCAATCACACAGTACGTGATGGTTCATCCTGGTTCACGACACTGCACTGACATGTAATTATTCTCTTACGTAAAAATAAGGATAAATATAGCTGTAAGTGGTTTAATAGTAACAGTATAGCAACTACAGTAGGGATAGTACTTCAGAGAAATGTGGGATCCAATTAGTGAGTGGGATGGAAGAAGTGGTAGGTCAGGTGTCCATGTAGAGAAAGGATTAGAGTCTCCCAAAAGCAATTGGTGGAGCACAAACTGCAAGTCTGCCCCTAATTCCTGTGCAGAAGCATTCCAAGCAGATTGTTCTACAGTCCCACATATGAATCTCAGAGATCTCAAAGTTTCCAACAAATTAAGTGGAAGATTAACTACATCCATGATAACTCAAATATCAAGATCATGAATTTTCAGGAAAGAGGTATGGTAGGGAAGATTGGAAGAAAGAATTGACCTCCGCTATCATGGACGATAGCTTAGCTTTTATCTTTTGGAGCTCCAGAAGGTCCATGGAGTGTAAGGATTGATTCCATGAAGAAGAGAGAGAAGCCTTTTCTTCATCCTCGAGGCTTGTCTTGTTAGGCCTCCTCTTGGAACTGATCTCCCCTCTGAGACTGCAGAACTCACTCAGCAGCTCCTGAGCTGGTCTCAGGAACTTCGAGTTCCTTAACTGAAGCGGCTGCTGTGGATGGAAACCCACCCGGCCATCCTGCACGAAGAGCTGCTGCTGTTGTTGAAGGTATGCTGATCCTATCTGCAACCTATCTCCGGGAACGCACTGTTGCGGAGGTTGAGGTACGGCCACTGCATCTGAGTGCCTGGCGTTGAGGAAGGGAACGGAGACCCTTCCTTCCCACGGGAACAGAGACCCCAAAGAGGGGTCGTCCACCGGCCACGGGCTCGCCGAGGGTCGATGCTTGTTTGATGCTTCAGGAAAGTCTCGGGGAAGGAAGCCTCCGGCGAGGCGAGAGCTTTGCTGCTTGGAAGGGACCCCGAGCGTCTCCATCCCGGCTTGGACGCCCAAGAGCTCGTGGTGGTGATCGAAGCCCTGCATCGTGGCGTCGACACCGGTGGAGAATTCACCGTAGTGGGACTGATGGGCCATCACACAGAAGCTCTGGGATGACGACTCCCTCGAGAGCATATGCAGCAGCTACTCCTGCGGAAACCAGAAAAGAAACAGTTCAATGAACCCTCACATCAGATATGAAGACTGAGCATGAGTGGCTTATCCTTCGCATGGGTTCGGAAGCATCTAAAAGTTAAGGGATGAAGAAGATGATGAAAGGAAAAGAGAGATGGAAAAAGGTAGGCTAGTAGTTGGCCAATTGGTGGGGAAGATCTTTGGTCCTTTTAACTATTGAGATAAACACCAACTTTTCCTTGCTTTTGTTAATGGCCTCAACACTCCCAATAGAATTCTGCTGTCTCCGTGGCCACAAACCCTACCTCTCCAAAGAAGTTCTTCTCTTCGACTGTCTTCTTTACTGCCATATCTTCTCTCAGCTCCTTCCCATGGCCTTCAGCCGGAGAAAACACAGAAATCTAGAGAGAAAGGAGTGACGAACATGAACAGCAGCAACGAAGATAGGATTGAAGGAAGTGGAAGAGAGGGGACGAGGATGTGGTCCTCTCTACCCAACTAATCCCCATTAAAAGGAGTACTGAAGGAGACTAGAGCTCATGGGACCGCAGGCTCATCTCAGGCCACTCTCAACCCCCACCCCCCTTCCTTCTCCTCCACTTGTATTATTCTCATGTTTCTACCCTATGGCCATATTATTCTACCCCCTGTGCTCTTGTTTTTGTCATCTTTTTTTGTAGCTTAGTTCCAAGTGGTCTTGCTATTAAGTCACAGATCCCAAATTGGAACTTCTAATCTCTGATAGTAACATGTCAACAAGTCTCCCTATGCTTTTGATTTTCTCATCATTTTTACTTGGAAATTAGATACTAGATTATTTTTTTCACCTTAGGATCTTCCATCCAATTGGCATCATCATCACATCACTTCTCTTTGAACAGCCATGGCGAGAGAGAGAGAGAGAGAGAGAGAGAGAGAGAGCTCTGATTTGGTAACTCCTCTTACGTCCCTTTGCATGTGTAGCTTTTAAGTAAGGGTGAAAAGAAGCACATGTGATTTGTCACAATCCATGCGTGCTGCGTATTGCACACGTCTCTTCGTTTTCGTGGGATGACCCCACACATTCCTCCCCGTTGCTGAGCTCGTCAAATCGTTTCGAGTGCATGGGTTCCATCTACACCAATTTTTTTTCTTTTTAATATCTGAAATAATGTGCTTACTTTGTCAATTATCCAATATTATAATACCCACACACATAATTAAACTTTGATTGTATCATTTATCTTTTGTCTTAATTGATAGCATGATGTCTGAGTAATTCACCATATTAAAAGTGTTCGACCTTTAATCGGATCACAAACTTTAGTTCCTTTTGATTATTTCCTTTCTTCTATTCATATTTTATTGAGAGGAAGAGAATACTTTCAAAATAAATAAAAATTTAAAGCTCAATAGATAAATAGTATATTAGATAGTTGATACTAGATTAACATAGTTCGATATTTTTTGGAAAAAAATAAATTCTTTATTATATAAGATTAATTATAAAAGTCTTGAGTTATCTTTACTCAAATATATTCTCTCATAAAGAATTTATATATTTTTTCTTATCACGTTTATAAATTGTAAAGAGCATCATCTCTCAGAAATTTAAAAGCACTCGAGGTATTTTTCATTTTTTTTCTTCCTATCAAGACGTAAAGATATATATGATATTTACATAATGATCAAATCTTAATTTTTTTATCCTCTTAGACGATGATTTTAGAAATTTTAAAACTATTATCCATCTCTAAATATTTTATCTTATTTTTTTACTTCGACTACTGTTAGTGCGAGACACACAGTGATAGACGAAGATGATTAGAGCAAGACTCGAACTCCAGGATATGTATTCAGACATTAAAATTATGTTGTATTCTGCATGAGTTGTGTTTATAGTGCTGTTCATTGAACATAGTTCCTCTCTCTCTCTCTCTCTCTCTCTCTCTCTCTCTATGTCTCCATGTCTCCCAAGGAAAAAGATGACAAGGGTGTGTTGGTCCTATCAACGTAATTAAGAAAGAGGAACATGGGTTGCTGTAGAAATTAGCGACAGCGTGGATGTTACAAAGCCTTTCGAGAAGACTTGTGTTCATATCAACTAATGTATCTTTCAAGGGGTCAAGCACTCACATGATCCATCGCCAACGCCACCTCCTCAAATCTTATCTCTTTTACAACGTACAATGTTGAACGTTTGCAGTCCCCTTCCTGAGATGTGATTCACAACTATGGAAGGAGAGAACTTAATATCAAAATAAAATCTTAAAAGGCAATATAAATAAAACAAATTAAGAGTATAGGATTTGCATTTAGATTCTTCACTATGTCAGAATAATGAACTACAAAAAACTATGACTTTTTTTAGTTAAATCCTCGCATGTAAATCTTACTTCTTTAGATTTGTTAAAGAGAAGATTAGATTAGGATGATCACTCATAATTTTTTCTCTACACATCTTCATCAAGTATTCGATATGATCAATACTCAACCCAATCAAAACTTGATAAGTGGAGCCCAATTAATTATACCTCTCATATCAACATGAGGCTGAGGAGAGGATGTTCGTCGGAGTATTGATTACTCAGAATATTTCTCTCACAAATAGTAGCTTTTTAAGTATGGTTTGGAGCCCTACTCTTGCTTTCTTTTGGACAAAAGTATACTTACTGTTGGATGTGTAAGTGATTATAATTACTATCAGTTCTGATAAGGCATACTTATCATCAAAAATTCCTATATCATATTGGTGATGGTTTAGATGTACATTCATAGATCAAATAATGTAGCAAATATTTCTCACATTATAATTAGTGGTCTTCTTATGTTCATCTGACCAATGGAAAATAAACACGTCATCATTTTTTTTATTAATGTATTTACATATTTAGTACCACCATAACTGGTCTTTATTACATCAAAATTCTAAAAAGCAATACCTTTCTTACTCGTTGATTAGCCACCCGATCTCGTACCTGAACTGACAGGGGGGGGTTTCGGAAGGGGGCCACCTGGGACATGTTGGCTCGCGACGTTTGATGACGCAAGAGGGTTTACTTGTTTGCTTTTCGGGAAATTACGTCAGCAGTTACCCGAGTTCCACCCGAGTCGTGGGTCCCGCGTGGTCGCAGGCGACGAGTAATCCCCGGTATTAAGGCGGTCCTGCCCGAGTCCGACGCACCGGTTTCCGTCTGTCGCACTCGACGTCAACCGGAGAACGCGCCATCGCCAATGGCCGCCGACGGTAACTACCCAGCCCTCGTTCGATCCGTACGAAACCCTAATTTGATCTTTTTCCCGCTTCAAATATCTGTTTTCGTATTCCTTCGTCTCTCTAAATCTCTCCCTCGAATTCGACACCGGAGACAGAAACCGGCTGATGATGAAAGAGAATACCTCCTCATCCAAGGCGAGTTCAATCGGTTGATATTATGGGACCCTAATCGTTGTTCTCTTTCTTCCTGATTCTTGATTTTGCTTGTCAATCGGGCTCTTCATATGTTGGAAGAGGAAGACTTCCATGACTATGGCAGTGATTTCCACGAGGATTCCCAATGGTACTCGATTTGTGCTAAGTAACCGATTTCTTTCGGTGGATTTACCGATTATATTCCTGGTGATGATTGTAGAGTTCTTGTTTGGGTAAGGCGAGAGGGAGATTAAGAAGATGGATTTTACCCAGCCGGAGCTGAAGTCGGATCACGTGAACAGGCCGCTTTGGGCCTGTGCCGATGACCGTATCTTTTTGCAAACCTTCTTCCCTCTCTACAAGCGAGCCTACGGTTACCTCGTTGCCGTCACAGAGCCTGTCTGCAGGCATTGTGGTTTCGTTTTAAACCCCATTATTCCTTTTCTTTCTTTTGCTTTCAAAGTTATTTGTGCGTCTTCGATAATGTGATCTTTGTGTGCAGGCATGAATATAATTTGACGCCGCACACACTGTGTGCTGCGGTTTCAGTTGGTCTGAAAATTGAGACCATCATCAGTGTTCCGAGCAAGCTGTTAGAAAACGAAGTTGCCACCTGGGGTAATTGGCTCTTCGTCCATCAGTCGACCGCCAACTATGGCAAAGTTAAGCTCGTTCTGAAAAAGACTTGGAATTTCGTTGAGCCACCATTTCCAGAGGTAATTTTTTTCAGCCTTTGAAGTTCTGTTACATTCTTTGCCTCCTTTTAGTATGGCTCACTGTTTTTTCTTGTCATTGGTGATGGGAACTGTAAATTTTTGAATGCAGGTATTGAAGCAATTGCTTAAGGTGATGTCATATCAAAGGCACGGATTAACTCTGAGGTATTTAATATTCCTTTTCCGTCTTTTAGGTTTGAAAAGAAGCCTACACATGAATTTGGTCAATTATGTCAATGCCTAGGTTTTTCCTTATTTCTTTAGAAAGCACACCTGCATGTTGCTCTGATGCCAGTTAAAAATAACCATATTCAAATATGATTTTATTGATTCATTTTTTCTGTTAGGCATGAACAAAACCAATTACTTGCAATGATATCATCAGATGCAAGAAGTGTACACTTTGTCAATCTTGCCAGATTCCTAAGGCATTTTATAAGTTTTTTTTCTTTTTTTTCTGAGTGCTTGTTTGATGCATTTCTTTACATTGTTCCCATTTGCAGTACCTTTAAACTTGACTTTTTGTTATATAATTTAATCATTAGTTAAAATTTATTGCTTCCATTATGTTGCGATGAAAATTTCTTTTGTTTCTACTAGGACGATTCTCATGATGCTGATACATTCACAATTAGCAAATCTGTGTATGAAATACGAGGTGGTCATGAGGACTTACTGAATGGGGCTATGTTAGCTGCTGCAGCTGAAGAGAAAGAAACTCATTTGAAATAGAACCTTCCCAGCTGCAATAGAAAATCTCATGCCACAATATCTGAATTCGCAGGTAGAAAATGTCAAGCAACATTGCTTGCTTAATGGACTAAACTATCCTATCCTCCAGCGGTATGATTTTTGCAATGATACCGCTAGTCATTTATGTGTTTAAAACTTGATTGAGCTTTTTAAGTATTAAAATTGACTTCCAGTGAGTCATTTTTCTGTCCAAAAATTGATTGAGCAATTTTAAACTATTCTATGCTCGAGTAGTATGATTTTCAAAATGATACAGTGAGTCATTGTCTGTTTAGAACTTGATTGAGCTTTTTAAGTATGAAATTGACTTCCAGCGAGTCATATTTCTGTTTAAAAGTTGATTGAGAATTTTAGTTATTAAATTGAAGTTCTGAAATGTTACAGTCAAAATTTTCATTTTCATTTTCTGGTTAGACCTTGATTAAGAGAGTTGTGCAAACACTCTTGTAGTGTCATAATAGCTTGGTTTAGAAGTTCTTGGCATGGAATTTAGTTTTCTTCTTCTTTACTGCCCGGCTTCTCTAAATATGGTATTCCTTTACAAAAGTCTAGCAGACCATCATGACATACCTATGTGTTTGCCTAGGTGATGCAGCAAAGTTCAGTAATTTATTCAAATACTAAAAAATGGTCTAAAGGCATACATGAAAACTCTTTTTTCCAGAAATGCATGACATCCACGTCGGGTCTTGCAGTTTTGGCTTCTAGCAGTAGTTTGTTGCATAGTTGATAAAAGCAGGGTCAAATAATTATGATGCTGCATTAGGAACAGATGCTATTGGTTACATCTTCATTTCTTGCTTTAGTTAATTATAAGAACAAGAAGTAAGATAAGAATTTACATCTACAAGATATCAATACTGTTAACTTGAGCGTATTTCACAGAGGAATATATTGTACTGTTAGTTTCTCTTCTTCTGTAAGTCTCACATTTGAGCATAATTAATTTCCATAAATCAATTTGCTTCATTGTCTACGGATATCTCATTATTTGCTAGAAGTGCAAATTTCTCGACTCTGGTTATAGGATTAGGTATTCTAGTAGCTTCATTGAGGGAGATCATTGTGCTGTGGAAATAATTTCTTCTATGTCAGGCTCTCCTTTTCCTTGTTTTAAATAGGTAATATTATGGTTCTCATGCCACATAACTAATGGAGCAAAATTTTCTTGTTCCAGGTAGACCCTGATTTGAATATAGAATTGAAACCTCAAGCATGGGCATGCTGCCATATCTGATTGATACACTGGATAATATATGTTCACCATAGTCAAATTCTATGTTTTATGGATTAGATTGTTGAGCAGTTAGAAATGATATATACAAGATGTTTACTGTTACCGAGATAGGATGTTGAGATGGATGTGTGTTGTTACTATAAGAAGATTGGTTTGCAAATAATTCCACACAAACAATAGAAAGCTTTGAGCGAGTATGGTCAAGATGAGGGAAAACTACTTAAATGGGTATAAACATGTCTAAGGAGAGCTATAGATTTACTGGCCGAATGATATGAGTTAATTAGGATTAGTATCTCTTGTTGGATCAGTAATATTTGCCTCAATTAAGCTCAAAAAGTCCATGCATTTGAGCACAACTGGTTTGGACAATGGGGCTTCTTATTGTTGTACTTGAAGGTTGTCCTACTTGGCTTTTTCAGTTCACAAGATGGTTTCTGTAGTTGGGCATAGTAAAAAGGGATTTCTTTCCATTAAACATTTTTTAGACCCTGTTTGTGTAGAATGATTTTATGCATAATCCTATACTAGCCATGATATTGAAAGTTCTCGTGCATTGACTAAGGAGGTTGAATTTTATATTATGGAAACATCATTATTGCAAATTATGGTTGTTAAGAACTTTTCTTTATATGCAAATGTTATATCATTTTTTGCAGCTAGACCTAATCTTAAGAGTAAAAAGAAAAAAGGGTTGTATTAGGTGGCTAATAGCTGGTGTAAATTTGTCACATCAGAGAAACTCTACCTTTAACAAATACATGTTAGGGTACGTTATCCCAGAGAAGTAAAATCATCACTGTTCAAATTCTTAAAAAGAATTATTTGGTTTTTGTTGGGTTAGGACGTCATCTGGAAATGAGCCTTGCCACAATATGCAGTGCTTGACTAATGGTTCCATTATGATTTTGGACCGCATCAGGCAATGAAGTCAAGAGCAAGCTAACATTGGCAACTTGGAATAGGAATTCTTACATGCAAGGAACTAGAATTAGGAGACATGCTGTTTTCAAGAGGAAAACATAATTTGCTTACAAAAACTTTGTGGGCAGAAAAATGATTAAGAGAACCAGAACTACCATAAAGTTGGACTTGGTAAACAGGAAAGGAAAATATAAGTGGAGAAAATGTTCTGCAGGTTCACAGGAGATGTAGAAGAGTAATTCTTATTAAAATTTGTTTAAGGAGAAATGGTAACTAATAGTGTTTCAGCGTGTTGTCAATTAGAGACGGATTTTTAAATTTGCACAATTTTGGAAATTTAGACGACTTAAATTAAGGGCCCAAAAACAGTGAGAAATATTAAGTGCATGGAAGTTATAAAAATATATATATAAAACAGGATGTGATATATGATTCAGGATTGGGTGGAAACACAGAGTTACATGCAAAGGCTAATGTTATACATGAATAACCTAGAGTTCCCTACATTGATTAAAATTTTAAAGTTGAGAAATATTAAAAGATCAAACAAGAATTGGTTGGAGACATTAAGAAATAATAATTACATTTCTCTCAACAAAGCTCAACAGTAGGTGGTCCATGTGGTCGGCTTTAAACAGCTGGGAGCAATGACTTATTATTGTTTAGTTATGGTTGCCATCTTAGGTAAATACTTACGAAATTTTATCTTAGGATTTAGTGTAGTCGACACAATTATCAAGTCATTGGAGATATTTATGATAACACCATATTAGTTTTCTTTTCTAAGAATGATAAGTAGTTCTAAGTATATTAAGATAAAATATTTAATGATTAGAGAAAGAGTCGAGAAACAATAAGTGTCAATTGAGAACTTAAACACCACTTTTATAAGTTTTATAACCACAAGTGTTTAAAGAATATATTTTTAGAATGAAGCTTTTGTGCAGCTCATAAAGAGGATGATGATGTATATTTAAGTGGATATTATTATTGATATTATTTATTTATTTAATTAAAATTATTTATTTTTGATATCTTGTTTTTATATATATATATATATATATAT